TCCCATGACAATGTACGATGAAAGGAATAGACGCCAATCACAGAGGCCCACATTCCAGCTGGAGACTACCTAAGAACTGAGAGCTACTACTGCTTTCAGGACCGTGTTTCTGTTCATGACCACCGAGAGGGTGCCAACTAGTGTTCAACAGCTATTGTGGGCTTATGAGAAAACTTGCAAGCAAATTTCGGTTTCTTCAACAGGGAGCGGAATGGCCCACCAAACCCACAAGAGGCTGTCTACACACAAGTGGGTATGGTCCTGCTTGATCATCTGTCACAGTAAATACTACACGTTGTCACTTACTGTTTATTTGTATGTTTTTGTAGTTGCTTCACTTAAATTTTAATCTGGTTAATAAATACATAACAGCTATCAGCAAAACTGTTAATATCTATGTTTATATTTGTACTATAATTATTATTATACCCAAAATAATGTGAGCATGTACTGGAATAAGAAATTTTTCCTGTAAGACCTGTGTATTACTCCAATACATTAAAAACTAGTACAGGCATTAGTCCTGTAAAACCTAGAAAATCATTTATAATGGAACAAAACACAACAAACTTACTGAATCTGAAACTTTAGCAGACGACCTCTTATTCCCATCAACAGTGAAGTGAAAGCCTTGGGTTCTGGTCTGCGCAGCTGCCGGCCCCTGCTGAGAGGGAGGGAGAGCAAAGCCTCTTAATAACAGGCACTTATAACACTAAGTCATTACCCTTTCTCTCCTCAGCCGGCAAGCAGACTGGGGTCAGTTAAGAATCCTGGCCACAGAGCTTCCATTTTCTCTACAAGAGCCTAGCATGAGAGGCCACTCTTCATACGCTAAACACAGTCATCCCTTAGGGCACAGTCTTTTTGGCGTGCTGATGCATTTTAGAAGACTACTGATAGAACCAAGAGTCTTAGAAATATCATACAGAATGGTTTTAGGAAAAAGGTATGTCCAAAAACAAAGGGGGATGTGAGAGAAGTCTTCGTGTATTCTGTAATCAGGAAGAGACATTATTTATCCTGTGGGTTAAAAAAAATTATTCTATAGGATAAAAAAGTGAGAAATACAGGAAGGAGTTTGACAAAATAAAAAACGAACTCTTGAGCTATTTTACACTAAAGGGCTCTATGATGAGAAGGCTCAGGCCAGGGTTGCAAGACCCCCTGCGAGAAAAGTCGAGGTGGTTCTCACCTCCTGGGCTCCTCCGGGACCGGATGGTGGCCTGCACAAATATTTCAGGGTTAGCGCCAATTACAAAACAGTTTCTCCTACTTTTAAGTAGATTTGAATTGATCAGAGTGATATTGTTGAATTCTCTAATTTCCATTTTAAGTACATTTGCTATTGACATAAACCAAATTAGTTGTTTTCTTTCAGAAAGTTAATTAAAAAGCAAAAAGAAACTTGTTTTAGTGTAATTTTTTACATGTTAAAATCGTATTTTAACAAAGAACTAAGTCACTGAATGAATTTTCTTTGAAATATGTTACAACATAAATATAGGTAATGGTACCAATACAAACAGTATATTTTGTAATACCAGACTGAAATTAAAATAGAAAACAGTGAGATTCCTTAAGCATTTTTTTCTTCTTTCTAGGATATTCATGTTGAATAGACACAGACACACACACACATGCACACACACACACTAGGTTAAAAAGTGGCATTTGCTATAATGAAATCTTTAACAAATTACAACACTATTTCCCTGTGGAAAACAGTAATACTAACTGCATCTAAATCTGATTTGGAGAGTGATCTTAGAATTTGACGAGCCCAATTTTAACCCAATTTCTGTCTAGATAAAACTCCTGTGGTGTCACTAATCTAACAAAACTATCAATTTTCTCATAGGGCAAATATGAAGAAAAATGGGGAAGTCTCCCTAAGGTAAAATTAAAAGGAACACTTAGACCTTTTAATAGCATAAAAGCACAGATGGCTGAGTTGGGCAAAAGGGAGAAGGGTAGACATATGGATATCCTCAATCTAGCAGAGTGGGAGCCCTCATCTAACAAAAGATGCCTACAAATCACAAACAGAAGCTACTGGTAAGTACCATCTGTACAATTACAAAGGTAGCCAATAAAGGATCTGAAAGTGGTTGGATAACTAGTGGGAGGACTGAGGATATGGGAAGCAGGCTTAAGTGAACGAAATCCTGACTTACCAGCAAAAGTCAATGTCAAAAATGAATAAAAATCACTTGCATATTAGCTGAGGAAATGGAGGTAAGTGCCAGGGGCCAATACCAGAAACAGTTCAGAATGGACTCCAATTGGGAACACGTCTGCGGAAGCAGGAGGTCTTAGTCCTTTTCATTTATAAGGCCTTCTATACTTGCTGATTATTTTACAACCAGGTGTAAATATTCCCTATAAAAATTTAAAGGTTTTATGTTTTGAGAGAAAGCTTCTGCATCCGTGGATGTTTTAATGCCCTTGTCTAGCTCGGATTAGCACATAGTCTACAGGCACACCCCTGATCATCTACAATTGCTCTCTTACAACACTAAACTGTGTTTTCTAACTTTATCTTGCATCTACCTACCACTTCAGCATTTTATTAAAAATAATAATAATAATAATAATAAAGGGAGAAATGTGGGATCCACATATAAATCAAGTATAAAAATCAAACGAATATTCATATTTGACCTGATTGTTTATAGTTCATGATGCGTGATCAGAACCGAAAGTTTCTGTGATGAATGCCCTTGTACTGTTCACC